TTTTTTTTTTTTTTTTTTTTTTTTTTTTTTTAAATTCTCCTCATGAAACTAATCAGGTGGCACCTTCCCGTGTGGAAATTTCCTTGCAAATATATTACTGTACTCTACAAATGACTTTTACCCTGTATGCCCCTGATAACAATTGCATTAATATAAGCTGATAAACTCATTTCTTTAGTTGCGGCTCATAGAGCAGCTTGCTAGTTAAGATAAAAAGTAAATTATGGGATATAAAAGACATATCTGATTGTACAGTAATACACTGTGTGCCAAGCAGTTGGTGAGGTAAGGTTTACATAACCACTAGAGGTTGCTTGAACTTTTGAGATATATTTCCATGTTCTTTTTTCCTCACTGAACACAAAACAGGGGCAGAACACAGAACAAGCAATTAAGAAAAGTGTCACTGTTTTTATTACAGTGATTTGAGATTAGAAGTTGCAAGAGGGTAAACAATCTAGAGGAAGTGTTTTGAAGTCTTCATCGTGTAGATGCGGTCCTTTGGGGAAACTGTCATTCCCTTCAGTGTGGGAGGATTCTCTTTACATGCAGATTTGTAGAAGGAAATTTTGACTCCATCCATATCCTACAATATTCTTTGGCTGCTGCTAATTCACTTAATGACACAGTTGGTTGCTCAGTGAAATTGCTCTGAGCTGTCGTAGCAATGGTGAATGACAGCCTTTTTTGGGGGCTGATTCAAGCCCAGCTCCAGCTGATGGAAAGACTCCCACTGTGCATCTAAAATGCACATTTTTCCATCAGATAGGCAGGAGGTGGCTAGCTTGGAGCTGGGCTGCCTGGCCTCCTGTCATCATCACAGACCTCCACCTGTGTGCCCAACACTTGCAGTCACTGGGCACAAGCCTGCAAAGATATTCTCTTGGAAAACATAGAGCAAGCAGAGTGAGCCATCCTCAAACATAGATAGATAGATAGATAGATAGATAGATAGATAGATCCATTCTTCCACTTCTCTTCCTCCTTCCTAATGCTCAGTGACAGCATATTCACTCAACAAAAATAGTGGCTTCTAAAATAATTTCCATCTTAATTGTAAAGTGCAGTGGTCTTTATTCCCAGTAGCATCAGAGAAAAATGGAGATGGGGAATTGCTCAGCTCTACCCTGTTTATGACTACTTTTCTTTTTCTTTCATTTAAATGATGTACTCAGAAAAATTATTTGTTTGGAGGAAAGATTGCAGGTTACTGATGCAGCATTCTGATAGATATTTTAGCATACTCAGAGAAGAGAAAATTCACTCTCACAAATTGACATCTTGGATTTCTTTTTAATTTCTTACCAAGTTCATTGCAGACAGTTTAAGTCCCACCTCTGTCTGAACAAGTGTCTTCCTGTATTTTTGACAATTGACCAATTTTCTCATGCATGCCAGTTTGTTCAAAGTTCTTTCTCTGTTTTCTTTCTAATGGTTTCTGAATTAGCAAGTCTTTGACCTTCTGATGGTGCAGATTGTCTGTTTGCACCAGCCTACATAGTAATGGCCAGTCTTTGCAAACGAAGAACTGGGGAAGGTCTTTACACCTTCCAGCCTGCGCATTGGATTTTTTTTAGGTGAGACACAGTGTGCGCGGAACTGAGCCCACCCTTTAATCCTGAGGTTCATCTGCCGGGGCCAAGCAAGCTTGGATGGTGGCAGCGAGGTCCTCAGGATGTAGATGGATTGCCTTACAGGGCTAACGAGCTCCATCTGCCCGGGGAGTGTCCTAACTGGGAATGGAACCCGGGTCTCGGCACTGACAGCGCCGCGGCTTAACCACTGCACCACCAGGGGCACTCGACCAGCCTACTTACGCAGTCTAAGTTATCCAGAGTAATCCACCTGTGGTATGAATCTCCTCTACCTTATCTTGTCTTGTAGCTTGAACTAGCCCTTGGCATTCTCAGTTATCTCAAAATCACAATCTAGGAGTTTTGTCCAATGCTTTTAATCCTCGTAATATTTAATAAAATAATCAAGTGCATATAATTGAGGTGTAAAAAATATCAATCCATAATCCATCCCATTACTTCAAAGTACTATATCAAATATATTTTCCTATTATTTGTGGGAGCAAATATTTCAGTAAGTAGCTGTAACTAGCTATGTAGTCTATAATGACATCTAATGCAAAACAGATATTCTTCAAATATTTGATTAAATAAGGTGACCTAATTCATCCTGGTTGAACAGACATAGTTTAGCTCAATCCTGCAGTTAAGCTTTCTTCAAAATTTGCATTAACATCAATGCAATGGAAACTCTAGCAAGAGCAGATAAATCAGTCTCTCATTATAGGACAGATAAATAACACTTTGGTTTTATATTTCTAGCTAATAAATGCAATCAAATTACTTAAAATATAAACACTCAAAGCCTGTTCTGTGCCCTCAGGGAAACCCTTTCTATATCCCAACGCAGTAAAGCTGCATATAGCAGGATATATTCCACTAATACAGTAAAAAATATATGGGTGTATAAGACTAAACAGCTTAAAAAAAAATCATACTGTAAATGATGTGATTGAGTGAAACTGTGTGTATATTTTTAAGTCTTCAGAACAGTAGAAGTTTTAACTTATTTCAAATTTTTAAGTTGAAATCTATTCATATTTGGAAATTTTGTACAACCTTGTAAAGTTAAATACTATGTCACTGTAATTTATTTTTGTTGTCATATATTGACACATGCTCATTTATATATGAAGTGTATTGTTTATCAATTGCTTCTAAGGCAGCAATAAAAACATGAAAGTTGTTCTCATTTTCCTGTGACAGCTGTCATTTATATCCAGTAAATTATTTTAATAGTTTTAATTCTGTTCCTTACTAAAACAGCTAGTGTACTGTGTTTTTAACTATATGTCTTCCAGTGCTCAGTCAATACATGGGCTATTCTTGCCTGTACAGCTGCAAGAATTTGGGATACATTGTGCAGAAGGCCTGGGAAGAGATTGCCACCTCAGAGTATCACCTCAAGTGGACATCATAAAATGAAGGGGAACAAAAAGTCAGACTTCTACTCTTTTCCTACCAAGTTTGATTTTATTTTTTAACTGAACGCTTTCCATATCATACCGTGTGTCCTTTCAGGCTCCATGAAGTGAGGGGCTTTCAGACTTCTTGCCACGATAAGTGGGGGTAGAAGTTTCAGAGCACCGTGAAAAGTCAGTCCCACTGTTGAGATTTGATTTGGTAAAATGCCTCTTCTCCAGTTTCCCTTCATCTTGAAGGAAAGGCTTTAAAACTTTCCTTCACAAGCGCAAACTGTGCAGGCTAGAAGTGCTTTCCTTACCTTGTGCACCATGGAATGTACCTGCAAATTCACAGCGGTATGGAATGGTTGCACATGGTTACCCAAAGACCAGGCATGTAACAGAAGGCAAATGTATTTTCCCTATATCAAGGAGTACTTGTTGCTATGTGTCATGGTCTGATCTGGCCTGTACCTCTCCTGGCAGTCTCTGCTCACATTCTCCACCAAAAATGTCATGGGTTTGCTTTGGGCCAATTTTATCTCACTCCCCACACAATTGCTATAAGTTGAGAGAAGGTTTATGCAGACAAAAAGAGATCTAATTGGGGAGAATAATATTAGGATTTATTACTAGTAAGATAAAAAACAAAGAACTATATATACAACAATTCTAATTTGGCAAAAATGCTATGTATTTATAGAAGTACCCCTTCCCCCTTGCATCGGTTCAGGAGGAGAAGCAGTCTCTTTTCCACTTCCAGAGCTACAGGCCTTCTAAATAATTTTGCAGCACTTTGAAAGTTCCTCTTCTGTTATCTCTAGCACAACAGCTCCGATTCGTCATATCTGGAACTGTCTCTTTCTCTGTCTTCTGTGTCGACCTCAGGGCCAGGCTTACCCCCTCCTGGGCTAAGACTGGAGGCTGGGGGGTTACCTGGGCCCTGTGGGGTCCTCCATGGACTGCAAGGGGACACTTGTCTTACCGTGGTCTTCACCACAGAGTCACAGGGGATAATGGGGTTGAGTCCACCCCTGTTTCTTGTGGGGTCCCTCCTCAGTAGAGATAGTCCTTGATGGACCTCTCTAGCATGAGTCCACCTTCGGGCAACAGTTCTTCCGTTCTCTGATGCCCCTTAGGGTCACAAATTCAGCTGCACCAGCATGGATCGCTCACCGGGATCACAAGATCCTACCGGAGCCAACCTGCTCCAGCATAGGTCTCTCTTTCTCCATGGGCCACAGGTCTCCAGCAGGACTCTGTTTCATCTTAGGCCTCCCACAGAGTTACATCCCCTTCATGCACTCCTCTGCTTCAGCATGGGCTCCTTCATGAGCTGCAGAGGAGGGTCTCCACTCCCCAACAGTATTCTACAGACAGCAGGTTTTTTTTTAGTTTTCAGTCTTTTCCCCACTGAAGGGAGAGAGAGGGGGAAGAGAAGGAGTTCCCCCCTTCGGGCTTCTCTTCTCTCTCCTGCGGCTGCCAGCTTTGACCTTGGAGGCTCTGTTATCTCTCTGCCTGGAATTCCTTCTGCAGCAGTCTTGTCCAGGCAGTCTTTCATTAGGGTTTTTCCTCTACACTGTTACAGGAGAGAAGGGGGCCTGGCCCCCCTCGCCCGGGCCAAACTTGGCCAGGGTTGAGGGGGGGCCCATGCCTGGGCCCAACAGAACTGGCTGCTACACTGGCTCTTCCATTTTCTTCTGCGCCATAAACCTTCTCTTCCATTCTCTTAAATATGTAATTGGCAGAGGCGTTACTAAAACTTTTGAATGGTTTTGCTACAGAAATTCACTTGGGAAAACTATTTTTAGCCCCAGGGGAGACTGATTGGCAAACCCACGACACTATGAAATGCAATCTACAGACTTTTTAAGTGTCATATCTACAGCCAATGTAAAACAGAGGGCATGGAAGCAATGAGCATAACTGGAGAAGTTTCCTACAGTGATTCAACTTCTTTTCCTCCTTGCTGATCTGAGGAACATAATTAGAAGAGGAGCTAGAAATAATAAATTTCACTTTATGCAATGGTCTCTTCAGTAAAGTGCTAGAGAAAATACATAAAATACAAAAAGAAAAGGCCCTGGACATTGACTGCAAATAATATAAAAGGAAAACAAATCTTGTAAAGTGTGTTTTTTTGCTTTTTATAGTTACTACAAAGGTGGACTATTTTCTTGTTATATGTCCTTTGTTATCTGTTGATGTCACAAGCCTTTCTTTTTCATCACTGTCAGATTTCACCTGTCCATCTTCCTTTCTTTCATTACAGGATGGAATAGATTTATTGTCACCCTTTCAGGAATGCATGCGAACAGTGGATCACAGAATAAGTCAAGCAACTGATGCACAGCTGGATGCAGCAAGTAACTGAGGGTACCCAGGCTCAAGAGGGGGATGGGTGACAACCCACACTACCAATTACAGTTGCTCACCTGAAAGCGATAACTTTCCACCCATATTAGGAATGCCTTCTCAGCTGATATAAACTAATCTATTTATGCTGTAAAAGAGTATAGGAAGAGGAGGTTCCTACAGATAACAGAAGTTGCAGTTTAGAGGTGGAGGCTGCTCCTTGTTGCTGTTTCTGGTGAGTTTGGGATCCTCTTGAGACACCTTTAAGAGTCTTGGTGCTGCGTTCCAATATTAGTTGCTTCAAATAAGGCTAAAATGGTGATAGTTATAGCTCAAAATCCTGGATTAAACTTTTAAAGGTGCTTTTAAGTAATTCTAAAGTAACTCTGGATGGGAGCTAAAACAAACTCGTGAGGCGAGTACCTTGAAGCTGTGTAGTCCAGCTCCAGTTCAGAAGCCCTAATAATATTTGTTATGAAACTATTCCTTCCTAATTTTTTCTGAACATCCTCAACCTTCTTCTTAATGCAAATCTCTCTGTGCTGCACTTATTATAAATATCATTCAGGCTGCTTTATCAAATAAAACAATAAGCTGTCCCTATGTCTTGTAACTAGAGTATCTGTCACTGTGGCAGCTAAATACATCTGCTTGATGCAGGAAGAAAATGTAAAAGCACAAATGCTTTCCTCCAGACAGCAAGCTGTTTCCTGATGATGCTTTCAAAATGGAAATTTACTTCTGCTTCATTGTACAAATATCCATATGCTGTGTTTTTCAGCACTTATGTCAGACAGCTGATATAACCCTTCACAGCTACTTAAGTGTGCTTACTTAATGCAACTAGATGTGGATTCCAGTGAGTTGTTTGTATCTTCTCTGAACCTGTTTATTCTGCCATGAAGTGGTAAGTCAGCAGGAAAGCATGGGAAATTGTTGGCTTACTGAAAATGTTTAACAGCAAATTTTGTTTTTCTTCTATTCAGTTGGGGTCAAAGTAAAATAATGCAGCTCCTAATGCTGCTCAAACAGAAACTGAGGGAGTTTTGCTTAGTCTGTTTCTCAAAGTTTCCATACATTTTCTTGTAGCTACTTTAGCAAGGATTTGAACTATCATTAACTACTCAGACCTCTGGCTCTGAAATATGGTGGATAGGTATCTTTTTGTAGGTATGAAGTATAGCTATTTGGCAGACTTTTACATGGCTTAAATTAAAACCTGCTTATCACAGAGAAGAAAAAGATGAGATTTCTTTTTTTCGTCCCCAAAACTTCCATTGGAGGTACAGAGGAGGAACAGCAAAATTTCCAGTTGATATGATGCAGCTAAAAATCCTCAGTTTTACTTTGGATGCTTTTTGCAATTTTAAGGATTTATCATCTTGGTTGTAGCCAGTCTGAAAGGTAATTACTTTAAAGCTGGAAGTTCCACACAAAACAGTTCAGGAGGGATCTTGCACAGAATGAATGGGCCTGGGTTTGGGGTTATTTTAACAGAGTATAAGAATTGCACGAGTCCCTTAGATTTATTAATTATGTGATGGAAAGATTTTAGAAATGAGGAAATAATTGTGTCTTGCCTC